ATATTTAACAAAGAATTTCCCCCCTAAGGCAAAAAGAGATGGTAAAATCCCACGGGTATTGAAGGTTTTTCTTCGGAAATCAGCAGATCACCCACTTTGAACCAACTGTTCCCATCCTTCTCTATTGGCGGGTCCTCCTACATCTTTCATGGTACAATTGTAACGTTTGAGGCTCCCCATAGGGCCAGCTCCATGGCGAGGCCCGAATGCCATCCCCTCCAAAGAAGTCAGTCGACTACCGAAGAGATCAACACACTAGCAGTCAAATACGCAAAGTATTACAAAAAAATATTTTAAACGAAAAAGGAAAAGTACGGAAAATTAGGGCTGTTGAGGTAGTGTTTCTCCCCCTCCTCTCCACTTTTCCCGCTCTGTGGTACGAGGATATTTGAATGCATCTTGCAAGACTGGGTCTGTCTCTTCATCAACTCACCGATCATGGCCAAAATCGTCGAACTAAAGCGGAGAGCAGCCCCGTGTCCCTGTAGTGTTGAAGCCACTAAAGTGACCTCAGCAGTAGTGGTGGTGTAATCTCCTTCATGGGTAAAAAGGTGCAGACCTTCATAATGAGACACATCGTCAGCTTTTAACCTGAGGTACTTTTGTTTGTTTAAGCGATCATAACGTATGCCAGAACAAAAACGGCTTTAGACAGTGGGTAACTTAGGTTGGAGAAGGGGGTGGGGAACAAAATGACTTTTTCATACTGATGCACTTTTAGGCGTTGATAAAGCAGGTAACAAGAGGAATTTAAAGCGTTAATCTTTAAAGCTTCGACTGATTTGACTTTTGAGTATTCGTTTGGAAATATTATATATACATGTTTAGAAATGGAATGTAGGTTCTTACAATCTTAAAGGAAATGAATCTTTTACCCTTGCTTAATGAAGTGGTTTGTTGAACTGGTCTCTGAGCTGTTCTTTTCCGATTTGCATTCTCTACAAATTTGGCGAACTCTTTTTGAATCTGCTAGAATCCATTGACAAGGTTGACAATTATGGGCAACACACACGTTGGGCCGGACTCAAAAAGCGTGGAATGCGTTGCCTAAAAAGAGATCCTATAGTTCCTCCAAATTGTGCGTTAAAGTAGATAGAGCACTTTTGTCATATCCAGACAATGATGTCGGAAAAAATAATCAAACCACCAGGACTTCTTAAATAAATCTCTATCCGTCCCATTCCAACACCTGAACACAGTGGTGAAAAGGAATTGTCCAAAATAATTTGCAAATATGAAATGCTACTGAAAATTTGTAAGTAGCACACACTTATTAATGTTTTCCTATTAACTAGTTGAACGATATTTGCGCGGTTATGTTGATCCCACTACGGAGGCGAAACTGCCCAACTCACCAACTTCATCAACAGGACGTCGAATGAGTATCGTGCTAGGTCACAGCGAAGAGGGCAGCGAATGTGGTGGTGATGAAAATGGCGAGCAATGGCAATGGAATTGTCTCCATCCTGATGACTTCTCAGATCCAGGCAATCCTTTGCCTCCTTTGAATGAGGGCGCTTGTACGAGAAAGACGCTTGTTCCCGTTCTAATTGTTGCCACCAAGGTTAGCTATCGAATTAGGAATTCAAAAAATTAACCGATTGATAGTCTTTGTAATGTCAGGATTGGCATAGAATTTCAACCCACTTCATAGCACTGCTTGTTTTTACCCTTCGAATCAGAGCGATCTTATCGAACACCTACAGACTGTTCTTGGCTACACCGAGGAAACATTGGATGCTATTCAACTGCGTCTGCGACAAATGGCCTTCGAGAGTGAGTAGCACTAAGGAATTACATTTGGTGGATTTTAAATTCGGTCGAGGTCTTTATAATCAAGCATTTACCGATCTGCTATCTTTAGCAAAGTGAAACTGTTCTCTCCCATCACCAAAGCGAATGATTTCGCTTATACTTCAAGGGTAGTTTACGATTGTTTAATATGTCACTGAAGGGATGGAAAATCCAGACAGAATGAGAGAACGCATAGCCACTAACGCTGTTTACAAACCATGATCTGATCCGAAGTCTAAATGCTTCACATATTTAGAGATGGGGAGCAGGAGGATAGCAGTAGATCCCACTCCTTGCTACTTGGAGGCCTACCAGTAGTGTCAAATTTCAAAACTGGGAAGAAGTAATTGTTACCGGGTTGTGGAGAAGGGTTCTTACCTTTTCCCTGCATTATCTACCATAACCAAAGTGAATTACCAAATCCAGCGCCATGAAAGCTGATGGGACTTATGTCTCCAGCTTCAAATGTTTTTTAAAGTATGGCTGACCTGTTTGTCTTAAAACATTCTACAGTTGGCGCTGGTCTCATCTACACATCGGCGCGGAAGATGACAAATATAAACCTTTTCAAGCGATATTTACAACACCGTCTATTCGGCGAGGAGTTTCTGGACACGGCACAAATTTTGCAACAGGAGAGCATATTTATGTGAGTCTCTGTGTAGAGCCTTTTTACTTTCTTTTAACCACATTTAATTTCCCTTTTAGACCCGCCGGTTGGGAGACCCTTGCCAAGATGGAAGTGGTTTCAGCACAGTTGCCGGAGAATTCAGTAGGCATTCCGTGTAAACCACCTATCGGTCTAAGAATACGCCTTTGCAACTCTGCTCGTGGTAAGCAAGCCTGTTGAATGGAGACTTCATTTGATGGCACAACAAATTAGCCAAGCAATAATCCAAAATCGGTACAGAAACACTGAGTTCTGTCTGTTTCGAGGCGTTTGTGGGGTTTACATCTCTCCGCTGGTGCAAAGCTTCGCAAATGCCGCTCTGGCAAGCAAAACTTCACCTATTAGGGATACATCTAAAGAACTGCAATAGTCTCCGAACTGTTTTAGATCAAATCAGCTTGGAGGTAATTTGTAAGCAGGCAAATGGGCAATGACGACAATGAGTTGAAAAAATGCGGTCATTATCTGAGTGTTGCTTTAGAAAAGCAGCCTCACTGGTGAAGCATACCTATTTATTGTCCCATTGAAGGGTTCGCCTCACCTTACACCTCACAAAGAGGAAGTAAATATTTGAAAACTGAGGAATTTGTGAAGGCCGAGGATGAACAGACTTTTCTTATGCGCATCCGCAACAAACTCAACGTCTTGGAGGCCAGTGAGGAGGCAAATTTGAAACAGAGAGTCATTGAGGATGGCGAAATGGTGCGTCGGGGGCATTCAAATCGGCGCTCATCCTTTACGGATTTTAAAAGATGCACTTATCGTTCTCCCTCCTAGGCACGTCGGCTCCACCATGGACGATCAGCAAGCATCGCTATAGGAATGGAGATGAGGAAGAGGGAGAGAGTACGTAAACTAGAGACAAATGTTGAAGGGGACGAGGACGAGGAGGAAGTGGCAGTGCTGAGCAACTTTTTCACTACCCTCCTCAATAAACGCCACTCCATGCTCCCTCAGTCCTCCTTGCACTCCAGGCATTTGGATTCCCTTTCGCAGGACCAGAGCCTCGCCATTCAGAAGATTCGTATGCGAACCAGGCATCGTTCTACTGGAGAGAGTGGTTGAGTAAAATTATGTTTTGAAAACTAACCTACGCATCAGTTTATTGAGTAGTCAACATTGGACCTCTCCTATGGAAGTGCTGAGAGATGAAGGAGAAGTCTTGCCTTCACCAAATTCCATGCTTAGTTGCGAGTCCTAGTTTGGGTTCCCTTGATTTGACATTTGCAAAATGCAAGACTTTCAAAGTAAAATACCTCGAGCCAAAAAACAATACTTACAATCAGAAAGGCATTGAGAGGACATTGGAAGAATGTGATTCCACGCCAAAAGATGATGCTGTTTGTAATGTAGATGAAAAAGCCAAACCAAGCTACTGTCACCTAGCCGATCCAATGGAGGAGACAACGATGGAAGACTTGTCTTCGAGAAGGCACGTAACTTTCAGGTCGGAGAACACAGAACCAAGAAGTGAAGGTTAGTTATGAGCATAAAATGAGGCATCAATGGGGCTGGCAAATCGAAAGGTGGTGAGGGTTCCAAGGTAGCTCAGTGAAGCAGTTGAGTGGCAATTCAAGGCTTTGATTGTGTGCATTTGAAGCATAAAATGATCTGTTGGTTCAGCACACCACCTTGCATTCTCCTCCGCAGTCGTATCTTCATTTTGGAGTCGGAAGCCTTACTTTTACCTTCGAAGATGCGGCAGAAGTAGCTTGTTGCCTTAGTTGCATAGCGAAGGGTGGTGGCAGTGGTTTGACAAGCAGAAATTCGCTGCTGAGCTACTCAAGAAGCATAGTTTAAGGTGGTATTGTTACCTGAAATACTTTGTGTAACTAAGGACCGCCAATTAAGGTTGTTAAAAGTGATGGCAAGTTGACGTGACTGTGTTCACACTAAGAGAGAAGTGGTCGAGGAGCTGTAAGGTAAGCAATAAGGTTTCCTTCACACAGGACACTAAATGACAACAGCAGTAGCTCTTTTTCACTCCATTTTGTCTCGGCCAGACCAACTCCTCGTTGCTTGTCGCTAACACTAAACAGAATGTAGCCACGGCGGTCTACCTCCTTTTGTGGGAACAAAAGTGTTTGTTGGGAAATTGCTTTTTCCCTTCAAAACCGGACAACTCTATAGCCCATGGAAAATTAAAGACCGAGCAAGTTGGACGGTCAGCAGAAGTTGTAAATTGTGAGCTGGTAGGAGGATTTGTGCTGCGTCTCAGATACCTTACGACGTAGTCTGTAAGACCTCCACCTCCCTGAAACTGGTAATTGGAGCTTTTGTTAATCTGTAAGCATGAAAAGTAATAAGCACATTTCAAGTAAACCCAGTAGAGGGCGTGGCGGTTCAACGGAGGTAAACCTTAGCAGGATTAGAATTTGAATTAGACGCCTCATCTCTCTTACAAGTCACCGAACATGAGGATGCGGAAGTGGAACCTCCACCTAACCAAACTGAGGCACCGATCACTGCAGAGTCCGCTGAGACAGAGGAGGCTGTGGGGATTGCCAATGCTTCAGACCGCAGTAAGTCAAGTTTTGGGGCTTAGACAGCCTTAACATGGCTTTCCTGTTGTGTGTCTACTTGTCAAACATTCTACAGAAGAAAAACAAAATAAAAAGACCAACAACTGAATAAGTCGATTCAAGAGTAACTCCTCGATCAGAGGAGATGGGCAGTCCTCTGAATCCTGAAGGCCACATCAAAGAAAAGCTCATTTGATGAAACTTGACAGAGAGATTTTTTGAATGTAACCTTGAGCCGTCAGATCGCCTGTCGAAAATGAGGTGATCCCATTTTTCCATGTGGTTTAGGCCTGTCTCCTGATACCACTTGCAAGGAGGAAGGCATGGATTTGAGTGGAGCTGCAGTTGCACTAGCAACTGAAGACAGAGGAGAAGTCGAAGCTCAAATACTGGATGACAATGGGCCCACCTTAGCTGACGGTAAGAAGAAGTTAACTTGACTAAGGGAAGGAGTATAAAAGAAAGAGAACCTCATTCACCACTATTTTCAAACAAAAATTAGAAATAGGACAGTAGAAGTAGTTTGTGTTCGTCTTTGCATCAGGACTTACCTCCAGAATTGAATTCCACCTCCTCTATCAACTCTACAGCGGGACTTTGATGAAATACTTTGGAGGTTGCTTTAAACACGAACCCGAGGAATAAACACTACAGCGTTAAAGGAGATGGTTACTTTAGAATTGAAATTAATAATTAATTTTTTTTCCCGTATGTATGACACAGAGCTTAGTCAGGAAATCATGGGTGGAGAAGACTACGTTGGACCAACGTCAAGGGAAGCAGGAGAGGAGGCGGAGACGGATGCGGCGACTGGAGGCTGCTCAAAGGAGGCATCAGCCTCAATTGACGGAGGTAAATTAATCAAGTCTTTTTTCCTCTTCTTTACGCAAAATATACATTAAAAGAGCAGATGGCGTTCGAAATCAAAAATAAAAACATTTTACATCCTCAAAAAAACAAAAGTGTCGATCCGAACCCCAAGCAGTAACCGCACCCTTCTCATAAGAAGGTGAAAATCGGGAGGTGTTCTTCACCTACCTCTCCCTCAAAAATAAGGCAACTATTTTCTATTGAGATTTAAGAGTCCGCTCACCTTCATCGTTCTGCTTCTTGAGGGTTCCATTTTCGGTCTTCTGCAAGGAAAGTGGGTGCATAATTTGCATTTAGAGCATCACCGTGAGGCCACAAATAAGGACCCCGAGGATTCAACCAACGACATCCAATGCGTGAAAATGATGGGAGAACCGAAAGTGGAGAACGCATCGAAGCCCGAGGCCGAGACGCTCCCTCATGCCGGTGGTAAGTTAAATCGAATAGTCAAATGGTAGAGTTTTACACGTTGAGTAACTCCTCAAGTGTGGGGCAAATGTCCCTCTTCCTTCTGACTTGCAGTGCAATTACTTTGAAGCCCTTTAAAAGTGGTTCTATTTATGCATTTTGGTGCAAAATAAATCCTCAAGGAGTGTAATCGCGCTCACTTGGAAATGATTTCCATTTTTTTTTTTTTTGAGGAAAAATACTTTGTTTGGTAAATTGCGCCCAGTTGACCTCTTTACTGGGACTGCATTGGGCGGAGTAACAGTCTGTCATTTCGCTAGGATTGTTTTTATACATTAAAAAGTCCTGTTGTCCTCCGCGTGCCTTGTCTCCCACCTCGAATCCACTGGCCTTTTCTCTAGCCTCTGGTGAACGGGCTCAGTTCAAAGGCTGCCGTTAAAGGAACTTTATAGAAGTTGTAAGATAGCAGACCAGAGACGGTAGAAGTGAATTAAACACACCACAACAAGGGGCATCTTCCACTCCTCCACATGAATTGGTATGTGTTGGTGCCCACTCAGAACAACCTCCGGTTGTGGTTATTTTGGGTGGTGAAGGATTGATTTTATTAACATCTGCTTTACTTGTGAGAAAGAAGTCGTGGCAAAGGGTTCAACTCTACTTTTCTTGCCCGAAAGCATATCAAGTTGGACAGTTAAACAAGCATTTTAGGGGCTGTGGAAGACAACCGAGTGGTTTATATTCAAGCATTGAGTCCAAATGACCATCAAGTTGTTCCTAATTTTCCTGTTCGAGAAGCCATCAAGGTGGAGAGAAAAATGGCTTTTGTGTTTCCCAATTTAAGCATCCTTTGATGTGATAAAATCATAGGAAAACTGAAAGGGTGTGATGAGTTGTATGCTTTAGCTTTAAAGTTACAAAAGGTCATGTAATGCATTGAACACATCAAAAGGGCCTCTTTGATCCTTTCCGCTGCTGTCTGACAGGTGAGACAGGCAAATTAAGGGAGAGCGTCGTCTCTTCACGTCAACTCGGTTGAATTGGCATAATCGTGTGCACCTTGTTTCAGCAGAGGTTGAACCAAGAAGGGAAGACGACAATCAGGATGCGGACGACGGAACTCTAAAAATGGAAGAATATTTAGGTGATGAGGAAGGAGACAATGCATCTTCGTCAGCCATACAGACACAAAGGAACGGTGAGTCAACCTTGTCATCACTGTAGACAAAAAGGGAACAACTCTGCCCTAGGCGAAGGGTAGAATAAGCAGTTGAGGTCACCCGATGAGGAGACGGTGGTCTCACTCCGTCCCAATGAAGGGAGGGAAGAGACGTTTCCGACTCCTGATACAAACATGTCAAAGCAGAGTGGTCCTGGAGCGATGCGTTGACATCTGAGTCCCATTAGACGGGCATGGAATAGAGAAGGATTTCTAACTTGCAACATTTAATAACTTAGCTCAATTCTGTGGCTTTTATTCCGCTCCACTCTGTGAACAACAGAAAGAATTGTTTTTATAAGATGTAGAATGCGAAAACAAGATGCAGGAGTCCAAAGAGGAAGAAGTTGAGATTGGGCCAATGTCAAGAGAAGCAGTGGAAGGAACGAATTTTGTAACTGGCGGAGGAGCAAAAGGAGAAATCACCCAAAGATATGGCGGTAAGCTGAGTTAACGAAAGGCGCCTGAGATAATGTTAATCACACTGTCAATTTGATCCCGCATAACGCTGGTAAGGCTTTTGTCTACTACCTCGCACAGAGCATCATCAAGGAGCTAAAAAGGATGGTTTCGATGGAGTTACGTGTGAATCAAAGTGGCAGGGAATGTTGGAGGAGGAGGAGGAGGAGGTCACAACGGAGCTAAAGGTTGAGGCGACCGCCACCGTTAACGGTGAGTTCACCTGCAATTTCCCTACAAAACAAGTCTAAGCGATGCTGCATTATGATTAGCCTTTTGTGATTAAAATAAAGTGCCACAAGTCAACTGGGTCAACAATCAAGTGGCTTTTGTAGCCTCTTTCTCCTATCATGGGGAAGTTGCTCCTCATTGCGGAAGGATGCTGGCAATCGCGAGGAGTTCAATTAATATGTTTATAAATTTCGTCAAAATATTGAAGCCGTCACGTGATGTGCGGTGATTGTTTCAAAGTCGAGGCGGAAAAATCTCCCACGATCATGTCCAACTTTCTTACGCACAACTTCATAAGTAAACGGACAGTTTTCGGTTTGTCCGTGGTACCGACTTGCAAAATCCACGTCGTTGTATGTGCGTTTTAAAGGGGAGCGCGCATTTGGGCTCGAGTTTTAGCGTTTGTCGAATGTATTTTAGCATTTTGAGCCAGCGAGGCAGCAGAATGCACTCCACGGAGGGATTTTGGTGATAAATAAATCAAGCGTGAGTGTATCTTTTACGCGTCAGGAGGGAGGCAACGACTTCGAGGTAATCGCGCCACTTAAGCCGTCCAGTCACGTCATCAATTGTGCCCGAGACAAGTCGAGGTGGACGATGAGTAGGTGGTGTTCACCCTTCCTACACACCAGATGATACTGAAATCGGTTAATTCCGTCAAGTGGTGGAAAAATTGTAGCAGAAATGTGTTTCCAAAATGATTTTTAGCCATGGGATTGAAATATTAATGCCTGTAACATCGCTTCAATGAGAAATTTGGCTTTAGCAGAAAGTGAAGAAAGAAACGAAGATGCCGCCAAGTCAGGGGTAGAGGCTCCTTCACTGGTGGAGGGCAATCGGTGTGGTGAAGAAGAACGAGAAAATGAAACTGAGGCACTCAGCAGTGGTGAGTTGATCCTACAACTTAAAATTTGGGCAAGACAAGGGAGGTTGTGTTGTTTGTTTAAAATATTTGTGCACCGCACACTTCCAACAACGTTGGTTCCAAGCTTTTCTTAAAACACAGCAACTTTTCAAGAACCTTAGAATGCAGCACCAAGGGCTGATGCAATCGGCGGCCCAAGAGTGGCGCAGAAGGAGAACGACAATAAAAGCAAGCTCATTCAATGATAAACGTAGTTGTCATAAATTTTAGTCTCTTGACTGCCGTGTTTATGAGTTAGTAGAGCTACTTTTCCGAGTAGTAGTAGTGGTTAGGGACTACACGATCAAGAGGCCGCATATAAAGGCCTCGAGGCAACAGCACCAAAATCCCAGTGGGAGGACATGATAGAAGAGGCAAAGGAGGCGGAGATCGAGGCGATTCCCACTGTTGTTGGTGCATTCCTCTCCTAAGTTCGACCTTTGTGAATGGCCTGGAACACGAGTGGTTCCTTAAAGTAGCAGCCGTTTTGGAGCTCTTGCCTCTACAAGTCAGGAGGCTGTCCGTTGCAGTGGAGTAAAGGAGTTTTAAGCTCAAAGGGTTCAAATAAATACGTCGACTTGGCTTCGCCCTTCCCTGAGTTGTAACCCACTCGCAAATGGTATTTGAAGCTAGTACGGTGGTCCAACGTGTCGTACTGAGGTGATGAAATGCTCAAGAGTAGTTTTGTCATGATTGAGGATCTGCTGTTTGCTGTTAACAAAGTAAAATACATCAGTCCCAACAAAAAATTTTGAAAAGCGCGTTAAAAGAGGCAACTTTTGGTCGCTGTTTGTGGTGAAGAAGGGGGAGAGGGAGGAAGGTGAGGATTTTCGCCTTTTGTACCTACACCTTCCAGAAGCCGAAGCGGTCTCCATTTTCCCTAAATTCGAACGAGGTCCGTAAATTGGCTTAGAAAATGTTTTTTTTTTTTTTT